TGGATGATGCAATGAACAAGGAGAAACTCTGGAAAATTGGGACTGCTTTTCAAAAGTCCAATAAGGCTTACTTTTCCCCTCCCACCATTGCAGGTGCTCCATCCGTTGCAACACTGACAAGTTTATCCAGCGGTACATTGATATTTGTCAATGCTTTGTCGAGTGCATTCTTTATGTCAACACATTTGTTTCCTTTAGCACCATTAAGTCCAACATTTCTTCTTTCACAGTTAGATCTGAGGAAACATAGAAAACAAATATCGCTAGCTGTGCTTTTATCTTGAATGTCTGTAGATTCGTCAACAGCGAGGCTGAATGCTAGAGAATTCTTTAGATTGTTTTGCATCTTGCTTGCAACATCAGCACTGATCTGGGAGATTTGCCTCTCCATAGCGTGGCATGAAATTGGAATTTGCTGTATTACTTGTTGAAGTTTTGTGTTACTTGGATCTAAAATTGCAACCACTTCCGCAATATTCTTAACAAATTCTCCATCACAATACAGATGTTTTGCACAAGTGATATTCCATGCCATAACAAAACTAGCTTCAGTCGCCATGTCAGTTTCCTTCCTGAATGCCAAAAGTAGGGTCTGTTGACAGTTGAGGTGTAATTTTAATGCAGTTAGCTTGTTTTTCCTTAATTCTGATCCAGGTGGGTATTTAGAGGAAAAGTTAATGTGATTTGTTTTATAGTGATGTTTCAAGTTGCTGGCCTTGTGGTGAGAGCGCGATGCACTGCCAGATAAGGCACAGCGGTTTGCCACCTTTACTAGTGAATGCAAAATCTTCTTCCCATTCTGACTGAAAAGTTTTTCTTCATACTTGCGTCTCTTACAATTTGAAGATGCCATTGTCATCCATGAAATTAACATAGGGTTAACACTTAAATCTACAACTATTCAACTGCGACTTATGAACAGTAAACACAGCCTGTAGTGTGCAGAATGCAAGATAATAGCACACAAGGTCTGCACAGCACTACAGTGACGCAATTTCCTGTTATAATGAGCACGTGCCGCTGAAGCCCTAAGCAGTGGCTAGCCAGAGCCTGCGGGGCTGAAATCCCAAGCAGTGAGTCGCCACCCCCACGTGGGGTTGAAGCCCAGCCTCACCACCCCCATGCAGGGTTGAAGCCAAGAACACCAGCTCACTCCTGCGGTACTGAAGCCCTAAGCCTTGGAGCGCCCTAATGGGGCTGAAGCTGCAAACACCGGTTTACCATCATGCAGGGCAAATCCCAGAGCTTGGAACCCCACCCCCCATGTGGGGCTGGAGCTGCGAGCACCAGCTCGCCCCTCCCCACACAGGGTCAAGCCCCGAGCTCTGCGAGCCACAGTTGACCCCTTAAAGAACCGCATGCGGCTCATAAGCCGCAGTTTGGCTTTGCCTGGTATAAACTATAGCCTATAGTCAAGCTGCTAACCTGACAACTGTGTCATGTGGACACAGGCCTAATCTGAAGGCAACCATGATCTATAACTAAGGTTAAGTTTGTGTCACGGATATTTTTAGTAAAAGTCACAGACATGTCATGGACAACACACAAAAATTCACAGAAGCCCGTGACCTGTTCCTTACTTTCACTAAAAATATCCCTGACAAAATGGGGAGGCGGGTTCAGCACCCACTGCTGGGTTTCCAGGGTCCCCCACCACTGCAGTGAGTGGGAGCTCCGGGGTTTGCCAGCTGCCCGCCATGGCTGGGCAGCTGCAGGGGGTTCCCCCACCAGGGTGGGGGCCTGGGATCTGGGGGGGAGGGGCCAGCGAGCTGGGAGCTCCAGCTGGGAGCTCCAGCCCCAGGGCAGAAAATTTCACGGAGATCAATGGAAGTCAGATTTTTATATCTAGTTTGTTTTAATGGGGTCCTGATCTCACTTTCTGGAATACTGCATTCAGTTCTGTATATAATATCTAAAGAAAAGGCAAAACTAGGAAGGGATGGGGGGAGGGAAGAGGATAGAAATGTGGAGAAACAAAAAGATTTGAAATGTTTCATTTAAGGAACAGGACATGGTAAGAGACATATACAATACCGCTATCTGCCTTCTCTCATAAAACAATGACAAGAGAACGTTAATTTAAAGTGAAAAAAGGAAGTATTCTGTACATAATGCATAGTTAGCCTATGGAACTCATGGCCACAAGACATTACTGAAGCCAAGAGCTTTGCTGATTTCAAGAAAAAAGAAGATTCGGTGTTTACAAGGATAAACGTTTAGAAGCAATATGTACCCCCACGCTTCCAAAAATAAGACAACTACCAACTGTTATGAAGAAGTTTCACCTATAGGCAAGTTATTCTATACTTTTCCACCATTAGACTTCTTGCTTCTTTCTATGAAGCACCTGGTACTGGACACAGTCTGATAAGACATTCAATTAGCTTAACCCTGGGTCTGATCAATATGGCATTTTTCTAAGTTTCTAAATTTGTATTCCTCCATGCAAGCTAGCCATCTGTTAAGCAAGTCTTCATGTTAATTACATGGTTGGGTCTGGCTTTCTTTCAGACTTAAAATATTATAGTAGCAATTGCAGTTTTTAGCATAAAACACCAAAAAAGGACAGATGGATACAAAATGTACTGTTACAATATGTAAAACCCACTGTCAAATTTTTCTTAACATTTTAGGAAGAACCACCATGAGGTTGTATGCAAAACGTTGCATTATAAAAGTAATGTAATGCCCAAAAATGTTGTCAAACTTCAAAATTTAGAAAACCTACTTGTAATAGTCCTTGAGTTTAAATATTGATTCAACAGTTAACTAGTAATATTAAAGAGAGTCATATCCAAGGAACCCTAAACTCCAAAAAGTATACTATTGTAAAGTAACACTTAAATATGGAGTGAATATGGTGTACATGGAAAGTGTACTAAGTAGCATTACAAAAAAAATCCAACTGGTTTCTTATCTTTTCTTTATCTGAATAGTGTTATATGTACTGGCATGTATGATCACAACAGAACTGGTATAGGTAAGAATATGTACATGACATAAATATAATGTCATGTGTAATCTTTTACCCTTCATCTATTGGCATCAGACCTTACTGCTTGGGGAAAACCCTGTGGCACCAGTTTACAACAAAATATTATACTTGGTCATATGTGTCTTCTCCACCAAAGTACTGCTATCTTATGTGTTAACTTGAGAATGGTAAAATCTGTGAAACAAACTAATGGTTCCCTTCTGGCCATGTAGCATGGCTCTCATCCTGGCACTTCCAACAGCGACACTGGCTGGGAAAAGGTTTTCTGCAGACCACCCAAGGCTTGAACCCTTTGGCACAGGCCTTCCCAGTAACAGGTAGGGGCCAGTGGCCTGCTAAGCAAACTTCAGCACATGGAGTGATGGAAGTTTCTCAACTCTGGAGGGAGGACTGACTTATCAGTGATCTCTTCTGAAGTTGCAACAAAGTATCAATTGTGACTACATGTGCATAGCCATACAGCTGTCCACTAAGAATTGGACAGGGATCATTAAATGGATTAAGGTAACTCCTCGTTTGCTGGATTTTACCTAGCAACAAAAAGATTTTTTTTTTATTAAAAAGAAAACAGCTGTACATAAAATTAGTTCATAGCTATGAAAAAAGAGCTGAATGCCATCAGATCAGATTTAAGAACGTTTAATATTTGTATAACAAATAATTCTGATCAGTTTTCAATGCATGACAAACATTTTTCTTTATATTTACACACCAGTTAAAATTTGGATCAAAGATTTATATATTTAAATAAATTTGATATCTGATACATCTGGAGCATTAATACAGCAGAAAATAAGAATTACTAGATTTACCACAAAAATTTGTTTCCAGTAGGATTCTAAGACACTGCAGCAGAGGAACGGAGAGGAGGCAAAGCAGAATGAGTCATGCCTTCCCAACACAGCATAGATCATAAGAAATTTTCCCTTTTCAGCAAAATAATTTAATTTTATCCATAAATCCTTTAGTTGTGTTATTTTAATGAATCAATAAACACTTTCCTTTAGACAGACATTTTTAAAATCAATCTAAATAGACGTACATTATACTTAAATTAATTATGTAGATTCACTGTTCTCTGATTAACATACATGCCTACTTTGAGCCCCACTGTAACAATTCAATAATAGCACAGTAATGCAAGAGAGTTGCTTACTGCATTCGAATTTCTGCACTTTTCAGTAAGTGTCGAAGTGGAATTACACCTAATTATTCAAGAATAGGCCTTTTGGCACCCTCTAGTGGCTTCCTCCCTCTTGGACTTTTCTAGTTTGGTCTTCCAAAACCTTTCCCCTTTCTACAAGTGCTTAAAGTTGACCACAGTTTAAAACTATAGATGTGATAAGTTTCATTAGAAGTTGCAGGTTATAAGTTAAATGTCAAGAGTCCATAATATTCATTCACATTTTTCTCTGGAGTGAGTCATTCTGAACTGAAATATACTTGATGCAGAATATGAAAGTTTATCCATGCCTTACTCCAAGAAAGTAAATTTACAAGAAATGAGTTATGGCTTTAGGTCTCTGATCCATGCATTCTTGGGGGCAAACCAGATCTGTTATTCTGTGGCAAGGGAGATATGGCTCCATCTCTGTTAAGCCACCAACTGAAACACTTCCATGGCCCAGGGAAAAAAACTAATTATACTAGTAAGCACTGAGACTAAATAGAACAATCCTCCAAAAGAGCATGAATTTAAAACAAAACAAACAAACCACTGAGTGACAATTAATAATACCGTTACCTTTCCCCAATTGACAGCCTATTTGGGGTGGGTTAGATCTGTGGACTTCATTACCTGAAAACTTTTCCTTTGTTGTAATAGAGCAAAAATAAAACTATTTGTATTTGTAATGAGGTCACAGACCCAGGACATTGGGATTTTCATAGCAGTGTTCACTTGAGACAAGAGGGGGGTACACTATACATATAGTTATGTAGAGATGTGAAAGGGGGTAACTTATTTCTAAAAATTACTGGAATACAGTGAGGAGTACCCACTTACCAAAGGCAACATCAGATGATTTTTACTCTTATGCTTCCGAGATACTATATTTTAGCCCTATGTAAATGGAAGATTTTGAAGCCTTCTTTCCTCTTGACACTGGATAATAAAAGAACAAAGAAAGCATTTGTCTTTCTGAATTGAGCTGTGCAGTGAGTATATACTTTGGGAACTCTACAGAAATCCAACGAATATCATGTTGTATTTAGGGTACTCTACAGAGCCTGGAGTTAGTTTTTGGTACAAAGACACAGTTGGTTCTGAGTATCGCTTAATCTGTATGGAAAGATGAGTGTCAAAGTTGAGAGCATTGAGGTGCCAGATAAGGTGCTCCTAGTTCTGATACCCTGTGAACTACCATGATTGTTATCAAAAAGGCCACATTACTAGAAAGTAATGGAACCACCTTCATACGTAGTTCAAATGGAGGACCTGTGAGGGAACTGTTAACGAGGTAAAATCCCAGGAAAGAACTCTGTACTTTGGAAGGATGCAGAAGTCATGCTACCCTCAAAAAGGCACACTAGACATCTAAAAAGCATGAAATCCACTAATTCTCTGCTATAATTATGAATCTGCCAGATGAAGCAGCAACTTGATTTTCAAATGTCTGAACTATCAGGCCCAGCCTGAGTCCATCCTGAAGAAATCGAAGAGCCTGAAATACTAACACACATGTAGGAGAGAGACCCTTGTCCTGGTACCAATGGGTAAACGTCACTCAGGACCTTGAATGTGTTATGTTAAATAAAAAGAAAAGGAGTACTAGTGGCACCTTAGAGACTAACCAATTTATTTGAGCATAAGCTTTCGTTAAATGTATTTCTGGAACCTTAAAACATGGATATTATCTCTTCTGAATAACCTCTTTGGCTTTAGAGGCTCTGTTCAAGAACTAGGCAGCGAGGCTCTGACTGTCTGGATTCTGATGTACAACTGGCCCTTGTAATGCATATCCCTTCTGGATGGATAGCAGAGGAAAGGTATTTGTACCATGTTAAGGAGGTCAGAGAACCAAGGTATTCATGGCCAGAACAGGGCTACCAGAATTAGGAGTCCTGCTTTTCTTCTGAAGCATTCTGATGAAAGAAAAGGCATATTTAAAAAAAAAAAAAAAGTAAGTCCCTTTTAGACATCTTTGCAACAACGCATCTGTTGCCTTGACTTTATAATCTCACTGGCAAGAGCAGAACACTGAATCTTTGTGATTCAAATGGGATGCAAACAGATTTATTGCTAGGAAACCAAATTCCTTTACCAGTACAGTAACTCCTCACTTAAAGTCATCTGGTTAACTTTGTTTCGTTGTTACATTGCTGATCAATTAGAGAACATGCTCATTTAAAGTTGTGCAATGCTCCCTTATAACATCGTTTGGCAGCCGCCTGCTTTGTCCACTGCTTGCAGGAAGAGCAGCTCATTGGAGCTAGCTGGTGGGGGCTTGGAACCAGGGTGGACTGGCAGCCCCCCTAAGTTCCCTGTGCGGCAGCCGCCCAACAGCCTATCAATTGCCAGCAGTTCAGTTGTCCCTCCCCACACTGCCATGTGCTGCTCCTTCCCTCTGCCTTGGAACTGCTCCTGGGAGCCTCCTGCTTGCTCTGTAGGGTAGGGGTGGGGGGGAAAGAGGGGCACTGTCAGGGTGTCCCCCTCCCCCCTGCTCTTGCACCCCACTTACCCCATCTCCATGGGGAAGCTTCCTGGGAGCAGCTAGTGTCTCAACTTGCTGATTAATTAACAAGGCAGTGTACTTAGAGTGGGTTCATCCTACTTAAAGGGGCAATGCGCATCTCTCTCACACACATGGGGTGTGGGTCTCTGTCTGCCATGCTGTCTCCCCTTCCTCCATTTGTCCTGCCTTGCGGAGTATGAGGCTACATTAACAACAATGGGTTAACCCTTAAGGGCTCAGCCAAAAGCTAGTTCATCACTTAGCAGTAAGGCATTCCCTGGAAATATCCCACCCTCTGACTTCACCACCTCAACCAAGCTTCACAATCATCATCGCTGTGTACAGTATTAAATTGTTTGTTTAAAACTTATACTGTGTGTGTATGTGTGAAAAAAATTCCCCTGGAAAGAACCCCTTCATTTACATTAATTCTTATGTGGAAATTGGATTCGCTTAACATCGTTTCGCTTAAAGTCGCATTGTTCAGGAACATAACAACGTTAAGCGAGGAGTTACTGTAAATGGAAGACCGCTCGGTATAGTCCCCATTCTGTATAATCTACCTTTTGCCTGCTGAGTTGTTACATTCACTTTCCAGTGGATGCAAAGGGAGCAGACTGCAGATTCTTCTCAGCTCAAGTCATAGGACATAAGCTTCCTTTTGACAGTCTGTAGATTTTCTTCCCCTTTGTCCGCTGACATACGACATGGCAGAGGTGTTGTCTGTCACAGTCTGCATGAGGGAAGTCCAGATATGGGAGCAGAGCCTGATATCACATTGGACTGTCCTGATCTCTCACCAGTCTACACTGTGCTTGTTCACGTTTGGACCAGCTCCCTTGGATGGGCCTTGACCCCGTCCCTCCAGCCTTGCATCTGTGGTGATAAGTGTCCTGATGAGTTTGCTTACTGGAAATCCTGACTTGAATCCTCTCTGACACACCCACCATCTGAATGACCTGAGAATCCTCCTGGGGAGAGATGCTTTCACTGAGGGGAGGATAAGAGGAAGTTCCAAAGCAGCCTCAAGTCAGCATGGGACAGCTAAGAATATCCACAAAGGAGATCACTAATGAAGAATAGACAAAAGTGTTTTAATGGGACTTCCCTTTGATAAAATTTCTCAGCTCCTTTTGTATATCCTGCAGCAAGAAACTTCATCCTCACCCACAACTACTTCAGATTTGGGGATGATTTATACCTTCAAGTCAGCAGCACTGCTATGGGTACCCACATGGCCCTATAGTATGCCAACATTTTTATGGCTGACTTAGAACAACGCTTCCTCAGCTCTTGTCCCCTAGCGCCCCTACTCTACTTGCGCTGCATTGATGACATCTTCATCATCTGGACCAATGGGAAGGAGGCCCTTGAGGAATTCCACCAGGATTTCAACAATTTCCATCCCACCATCAACCTCAGCCTGGACTAGACCACAAAAGAGATCCACTTCCTGGACACTACAGTGCAAATTAGCGATGGTCACACCACCCTATACCCGAAACCCACTAACCACTATATTTACCTACTGCTTCCAGCTTTCATCCAGACCACACCACATGATCCACTGTCTACAGCCAAGTCTTAAGATACAAGCGTATTTGCGCCAATCCCTCAAACAGAGACAAACACCTACAGGATCTCTATCAAGCGTTCTACAATACCCACCTGCTGAAGTGAAGAAACAGATTGACAGAGCCAGAAGTGCACCCAGAAGTTACCTACTACAGGACGGGCCCAACAAAGAAAGTAACAGAACACCATTAGCCATCACTTACAGCCCCCAACTAAAACCTCTCCAGAGCATCATCAAGGATCTACAACCTATCCTGAAGGACGATCCCTCACTCACAGACCTTGGGAGACACGCCAGCCCTCGCTTATGGACAGCCCCCCAACCTGAAGCAAATACTCACCAGCCACTTCATACCACACAACATAAACACTAACCCAGGAACCAATCCCTGCAACAAACCCCATTGCCAACTCTGTCCGCATATCTAGTCAAGGGTCACCATCATCAGACCTAGCCACACCATCAGAGGCTCGTTCACCTGCACATCTACCAATGTGATATATGCCATCATGTGCCAGAATGCCCCTCTGCCGTATACATTGGACAAACCGGACAGTCTCCATGCAAAAGAATAAATGGACACAAATCAGACATCAAGAATTGTAACATTCAAAAACCAGTAGGAGAGCACTTCAGTCTTCCAGGACACTCAGTAACAGACTTAAAAGTGGCCATTCTTCAACGAAAAAAAAAACTTCAAAAACAGACTTCAATGAGAAACTGCAGAACTGGAATTAATTTGCAAACCTGACACTATCAAATTAGGCCTGAATAAAGACTGGAAATGGCTGGGTCACTACAAAAAATAATTTTCTCTCTGTTGATACTCACACCTCCTTGTCAACTGCCACATCCACCCTGACTGATTTGGCCTCGTTAGCACTGACCCCACCCCCGCCCACTTGGTAAGGGAACTCCCATCTTTTCATGTGCTGTATATTTATACCTGCCTACAGTATTTTTCATTCCATGCATGTGATGAAGTGAGTTCTAGCCCATGAAAGCTTATGCCCAAATAAATTTGTTAGTGCCACAAGGACTCCTCGTTGTTTTTGCTGATACAGACTAACACGGCTACCCCTCTGAAATTTGTAGACGTGTGTATCTCCACACGTAGAGATAGATAAAGGCCTTGTTCCCTTTTCAGAGAAGGGACAGGTTGTATTACTCCCATAGATGGGATGGCTGTCTGCATGCCCAGACTCCTCTTCTCAGGAAGAAGCCTTTAGGCAGCACTTTTTTTTTTTTTTTTAAAATAGGCTGAGAGGGACAATACTCACAATACTGTCCACCCAAGTTAGTTTTGCGTGTCAAAAAAACATGCAAGAGATATTTAGGGTGGCAGATAACTGTTCTTATTTTAGTTATTTATTCTTGTTTGCCTGATGCCCCCAGTGGTTTGCATGCCTGAAGAAGAGGGCTGAGACTATGCCCGCCTGGATTTGGCTGTCCAGTGAGGAAGCGACTCTTTCAGAACTCTCCCAGTTAGAAACAACACTCTGACATCAAGCAAAGTGCAGTCTTGTCGTAACAGCTGTGCTGGTCACAGATATTAGAGAGGCAAGGTGGGTGAGAGTATCTTTTATTGGACCAACTTCTGTTGGTGAGAAGCTTTTAACTTCACAAGAGCTTTGTGTAGCTCCAAAGCTTGTCTCTCTCACCAACAGAAGTTGGTCAAATAAAAGTTATTACCTCACTCACCTTGTCTGACCAGGGAAACGCACATTATCTATCATAATGATTACAGGATAAATTTTGACTGGAGCACAGCAAGGAGCCTTTTGGCCTTACGTAATGGAGATAGGGGCGGGGGATGATCATGCAGTAGAAATAAAGAAGTAGTGGGTCAAGAAG